CCCCCCCCCCCCCCCAAAAAAAAACCAGGTTTTTACGTCCATAATGTGTTGTGGTTGCTTAAGATAAATTTGTTATTGATTTGGAATACAGACATAGCATTGGACAATAGAGACTTAGAGAAAGGGTTGATATCAGCAACAGGAAGCCAAAACTCTCCATCTGAACCGTCTCCCGCGCCATCACCATCCGCAGCAACTCCTCCAGCTCTGGTTTTATCGAATTCTGGGAAGCGAATTGATCAAGCTGGGAGAAAGAAATATGTGAAAAAGGTTACTGGCAGGCACAATGACACGGAGCTACATTTAGCGGCTCAAAGGGGTGATCTTGTGGCTGTGAAGGCGATACTTAATATTGATTCTCAAATGGTGGGGACTCTAAGTTCAACAGATTTTGATCGAGAGGTTGCAGAGATCAGAGCCTCGGTTGTGAATGAAGTAAATGAGTTAGGAGAGACAGCATTATACACTGCAGCAGAGAGAGGGCATTTTGATGTGGTAAATGAGCTACTGAAGTATTCTAATAAGGAAACACTTGTGAAGAAGAATCAATCTATGTTTGATCCTTTGCATATAGCTGCAAGAGAAGGCCACCATGGTGATTATCTGAACTTATTGTTCTTCTTTTTTCACCTCATTTTGAAGTATTCTAGATATTCCTCTCTAGTTGCCCCTCTGGTTTCAGTTATGTGATGGTTTATTACGTTGGAAACTTGGCCCATAAAAATTATCTTAATTTATTTAAAGAGATGAGGGACAAGGTTTTAGCAGTGTATATAAGTTTTGAATTTGATTTCAGATTCTTGGATGTTAATTATATTTGAGAAATTCATTTGCTGTCTTCGATCTGTGAATTCATAGAACCTGAGGACGCATACCCTGTTGAACTCTGCTCATTATTAGTGGAGGGCATATTGACAGCATGGAATTTGGATATAAAGCACAGGCTGAGACCATTTAGCACTATCTAAAGGTTTAGTTCACTATAATAGGTTGACTTTGGACTGATGGAGCGTGTTTTACATTTAGAGTTGAGCAGAAAATATTACATGCCTGCTATGTGTAATGAGAAAAAAGCATCCCCTGCAGTCACGTGGAAACAGCTTCCATTCATTTCTTTTTCAGATCCTGGAATGTTAACATTTTCCTGGGTGATGGATCGACCTGATTGCAGTTTTCAAAATTACAGCATTGCTTGCATCTGGCACAATCAATCCACTGGAAGACGATTCATTGAAAATGCATGAGCTTATGTTATGAAGTCCTTGGTCAATCTTCGAAATTGACCGATTCCCGTCTAACCTTTCTTTTCTTTGTTGTGTCTTTGTTTTGTTGTTTCTATCAGGCCTGACACTGACATCGAATCATTTAATTTCAGCAATTGTTCAAGTGCTTTTAGACCATGACCCTGAACTAAGCAAAACAATTGGTCCTTCCAATGCAACCCCTCTTATAACTGCTGCTTCAAAAGGGCACATGGATGTAGTTAATGAACTGCTGTCTAAGGATTGTAGCTTGCTGGAAATTTCCAGATCTAATGGAAAAAATGCATTGCATTTAGCCTCTAGACAGGGGCATGTGGACATTGTCAATGCATTGCTTGAGAGAGATCCACAATTGGCTAGAAGAAAAGACAAGAAAGGACAGACTGCATTGCATATGGCTGTGAAAGGGGTTAACTGTGAGGTGGTTAAATTGCTCCTCGACGCTGATGCAGCTATTGTGATGCTGCCAGACAAATTTGGAAACACAGCATTACATGTAGCCACAAGGAAAAAGCGAGTAGAGGTACGTTTTAGTTTGCTGTTTTAAAATTTATTCTATTAGTGTACCTTTTACTTCAAATACATGAATTTTATCCCAAACCAAATTGCTTGTTATCCCTCATTGAAAATTAATACAAATTTACTCTTATCAAGTTTCATAAGCACATATTTTCATATGCTCCATAAATTTTCTATATGAGTATACTTATCCATTATTATCATATGAAATCCCTGGAGAACTTTGAACGTTGTATAACTCATGAATGCTGTCTAGTGAAAAATACATCTATTTGTTAGTAAAGAGAGGCCATTTGATAACCCGGTTCTTGTGTTTCTAATGTTAAAAAAATGAGAGGCCATAAGTTAATTTTTTTCTTTTGGTTTAGAAAACATAAGCAGAAGAGAGAGAACATAATTGAGAAAAACTTGTTTTTGAATGTAGTTTAGTCATGGTAATTTTAATTACAAGGTAATTTTGCTGCATTCTTCTAAAGAAAAAGAAAAACAATTTACCTTGTATTTAGAAAAGAAAAACAACAGGCTTTATTCATATATAACTTTACTGTGGATTTTCTCCCTTTCAGCTAGCAACCTAATTACTCTTTTATCAATATTGCCCCTGTTCCATGCCTGCTTTTAGAACTTCAAGCATGTGGCCAATGCAATGCTGATATACACGCATACACATGCTATATTTCTTAATTTAGTTGTGGGGAATTTTTTTCCTTGCAGATAGTCAACGAGTTGTTAAGCCTTCCTGATACCAATGTCAATGCACTGACAAGAGATCACAAAACTGCTCTTGACATTGCTGAAGATCTTCCACTCTCCGAAGAATCTTCACAAATAAGGGAATGCCTTTGTCGTTATGGTGCCGTTAGAGCTAATGAGTTGAACCAACCAAGGGACGAGCTACGGAAAACTGTAACTCAAATCAAGAATGATGTCCACTTCCAGCTTGAGCAAACTAAGAGAACAAACAAAAACGTCCATGGAATTGCCAAAGAGCTTCGGAAACTCCATCGAGAAGGCATCAACAATGCTACCAACTCAGTAACTATAGTGGCGGTGCTATTTGCAACAGTTGCCTTTGCAGCCATTTTCACTGTGCCCGGTGGGGATGACAACAATGGGATGGCCGTCGTCGTGAAAAGTATTTCCTTTAAGATCTTCTTCATATTCAATGCTATTGCACTTTTTACGTCCCTTGCAGTTGTGGTCGTTCAAATTACATTGGTTAGAGGCGAGACGAAGGCTGAAAGACGTGTAGTAGAAATTATTAACAAACTGATGTGGTTGGCTTCTGTGTGTACTTCAGTGGCATTCATGGCATCTTCTTATATAGTGGTTGGGCGCACATACCAGTGGGCTGCAATAGTGATTACAGTTGTTGGTGGAGTTATAATGGGTGGGGTTCTTGGGACCATGACTTACTATGTGGTGAAGTCGAAGAGGATACGATCAATGAGGAAGCAGGCTCGAAGTGGCTCGAACTCCTGGCGTCACTCCGAGTTTTCTAATTCGGATGCCGATCGGATTTATGCCCTCTGATCGAAGAAATTACCATTATGAGAATGTGGACGAAGTAGAATTGAGATTTTAATTCCTGCTCTGAGTACCAAGTATAAATATGAATATGTAGTTGACTTCTTACATCACGTCAGTTGCTGATTTATATTTGACGTGAAATCTATGTTAGTTAAATTTTCACTTCTCACTTCGTATTTTCTTAGTTTATATACAATACTTCTTCGAAAATTAGAGAAGAATTTATTATTTGAAAAAATCTAAACAAACCTTCAACATAATATAGCACCTTTTATTCTTTGAAACTCATCTCCTTGGAAATGAATTTTTTCATCTTTAAAGACTAATGTTATACATTATTATTAGTCGTGATGAACGCTCAACTCAATGTAATAAATAAAGAAATAATGATATTTACAGTGAAAACTATCGATAGTTGCTTTACGTTATATACATATGACAGTTTTTTATTTGATGCAATATGATGACTATCGATAGTTTTTACTATGAATATTATTATTCTAAATAAAAATTATTCTCGACTTTATTATATAATGTGACATTATTTCATTTATTGAACAATGTGGATGACCTTGACACATGGTCATATGTTGAGGTGCTAATGACGAACATCATTATTTACATTAAAATTATAACACAAAATATGGAAACGGGACCAACGGTTTAAATTATAAAAAGCAAAAAGCTTCTTGTATAAAAATTAAAGGTAATTAATTTTCATTCATTTTCTTGGTCAATTTAAGGTCTTTTCCCTTGAATAGGGGAAAATGAAGACACGGTTCGATTTTGACTGTTATTGAACAACTTTCAAACCAAATTATTCCGAACAATTTCAAAATACAAACCGAATCAAACCATTTCTTGCGGTTTGATTTGAGTTCAAACCATGATTTTAACGGCACAAAAATAACATATTGCAAACTAGTAAAAAAATAAAAGTATTAATGTGAAATTTCAGAATAACACTTAAATGGTAATATTCTACATATAAATGTCGTAATACACGTATATTTATCTCGATACAAGCTTAAACAATAAAATCAATATAAGGTTCAACAATAAAATTTGAGCTTGTAAATTCATTTCTTTAAAAAAAATAATTGTAATAATTATTATTTCCTTAAAAGCCTATAGAATCCATTATCAAGTAAATTAACAAGCATAAATTCAATTAATAGATAATACATTTTGAGTAAAATAATTATTACTTTTTTTTAATTGAGCGAATAATTCAATTAGTTTTTTTTTTAATTATTTTTTTAACAATTGAAATTTAAATCAAACATTTCCAAACAGTTTGATTTAATTTAATTTTGCACCTAAATCAACTGTATTTTTGTACTCTCCACGATTAGGGTAACCGTTAATAAATAACACTACATTCGTCTATCCGCTGCCTCCCTCCATTGGAAGCTTAAACCTCACAAAACCCTCGACGGAGAAATTTACACAGAATCCTAATCAACTTCTACTGATTTCTTGTCGCATAAATTGAGAAAAAGGAATTGCAATGAACAATCTCAAGTTATCATGGGAGGTGTCATCGACGCTGCAGTTACGGTCGGAGAATGGAGAAGAAGAAGTCCTCCAGTTATTGGCCATCGACATGGAGCACAACCGCCTTTTTTTCTCCTCATCGGCAAACTTTATATACGCCACTCAAATTCCTTCACCTCAAGTAAGAAACATGTATTAGTCTCCATTTTATAGGTGTTTATGTCTCCTTGCATTTCCGTGCTTATTCATCAAGCAAAATAAATCGAAAGCGTTTGATTTTATGGTTCCAATAGAGCATTTTTTAGCTAAGCCCAGGACAAGAAGTAAAAAATTACTTTTTTTGTATACTCTTATTGAAGTATCAAAATAAATAATTACTCTCACCAATAAAGAAATTACATTTTAACTTTTAACTGAAAAGAAATTATTTTTAAGCTTATCCAATCTTGCTCGTAATCGCATAGTTATGCATATCTAATTGTTTTCACAGTCTTTAGTGTTTATTTTTGAAAAGTCTTTCTTTCTAGCCAATCAGTTGTTTTAGGTTGTGTGGGATGATGAAAAATTGATACGTACAAATTGTATTTATTTGATGATGTTGAAGTTAATTTTAAACATGAAATGGGTTACTATTTTACATAAAATTTGTTTTTTGCTATTGTTTTCCAGTCTTGCATTCTCATTCGTATCAGTCTATTGGAAACTGAAAGGAAGGGATTTTGGTGTGCAACCTATTAAAGTTAAAGTGAGCAAAATGGTACATGTTTGGACGGACTTTATGAACTTAGGTTGGTTAATTGAATGGTGGAACAGCCTCATTTGAGTTTGAGCTTGTTGTGGATGCAATTCACATGCTGTATCACTTCTCTTTAATCATGCAGGCTATTGATATGGGTAAGCCAAAACCATGCTGCTTGAACTTGGCATCGAAACAATCTAGTGAGAAACGAAAAATGAGAAGATTAAAAACTAAACAGAGATTTGTTTATGATGAAAATTTAAGAGTGAACTAGCAAATGTCCACATATGTTTCTGAAGTTGCTCATATATTATACTGATAATATCAAGAGTTCTTGGATGATTATGCATTTGTGTTTTCCTCCCTTTCTTTCCTACTTTCTTTCTTTCTCTTTCTAACAAGTTGGTTGTGACTTAAACCAGATTGCAGGAGCATGGAGTAAAACCTTGTTACCTGCTTTTGTTCAGCTCATTGATTTAGAAAATGGAGATTTCATTACTTCCTTGGAATATCTTATGGAGAAGGAAGCCTTGATCATTGGAACTTCTTTTGGACTTCTGTTACTTTATAATGTGGAAGAGAATGCAACAGAAATTGTTGGCCAAGTGGAAGGTGGTGTAAAGTGCATCTCACCTAGTCCAGATGGAGATCTGCTTGGTGTAATTACTGGTTTTGGGCAAATTCTAGTGATGACTCTTGATTGGGATGTATTATACGAGATAGCCCTCGATGATCTTCCTGAGGATGTTCATGTACGCAAGGACTTCTTACAGTATTCGCCAATCTGTTAGCATGCTTTTCGAATATCTTTAAATCCTCACTAACCTTTAATATCCTTTTGTTCTGTGATCTTTCGGATAAATTGTACCGTGTAATTATCCAATGCAGAATGTGTTGAACCAACATTTGAACTGTTCGTGTGGACAATTAGTTAACTGTGCCGTACGTAAAAAACTGGACTAGGTCAGGTAGTCGAACTGGAAGACCAATGAAATAGGTATCAGATCAGTCCAGGTGGGTCTATTGGATCACCTTGCTAACATTCCAGACCTGTCAAACCTGGGCTGGTTTTTGAGCGACCCGTTTGCAAACATACCAGACTAGTCAAACTTGGATGGTTTTAGGTAAACTGGTGACCCAGTGTGCAAACATACCAGACCTGTAAACTTAAGCGGGTAAAACAGCATCACCCTTCGCCAAGAGGGAAGAAAGATTCTGGTAAACAATTTTCATTAAGAAAATAACTGTCATAACCAAGAGAGCCCTATAGAACTTACGCTTCTTGCACCTCTAAAACTTGAAATACGTGTATTAAATGATTCAGTTTCCGGACCATCGTTGTTCTAAGTTGTGGAATTCAGATGACATTATTGTATCTATTACTGGATAGGGTACGATTATGTCAGGTTCACTCCAAAATAATGATGTTGACTAATGATACTGAAGTTGGGGGGGATCAAGTTTAAAGATTCACCATTGTCATCAGTCATGTCAACTTTGGAGTCTTTCTGACCCTAGAACACACTGTAGCTTGGAATGTCATTGATTATGAGAGTTGTTGGTGAAGGTCTGCTTTAGTTATATAATGATGCACGGACACTTACTATGGCAGTGTGTTCGTGTTCGACACGTGTTGTGTTGTGTCGAACACGACACTCTTCGGAAACTCAAGGACTTATATTTAACAAGCCACATGTCCTTGTCCCATTATGTATATTTTTCAAATTATCGATGCTTGATAGATACATTAGAGACACCTCTCTGGAAAGTGTCAAACATGTCATGTGTCATGTCCTATAGTAAAGATTATAGAAATAAATATATAATATCTGAATTTAAAATTTTAAAGAATTCATATGGACGTGTCTGTGTCCTACTTTCTAGACAATTCACGTCTTGGCATGTCCATTTCGTATCCATGTCTGCAACTACTTATATTTTTTAGTTTTATTTCAAACAGTTTCTTGTAGATAATGTGCTCAATTTAGCAAAGAAAGAAGTCTCTTCATTTACATAAAATAAATAAATAATTTTTTTCCTTTACATCTAGTGAATAACACTTGTTTGAAAGAATGATAGTTTCAAATACTCGTATGGTGTAACAATAGCATGGAAAATTGAGTTTTACTGCCTTATATAATTGTTTAATGAGTCATTATATTGAACTATATTTATAGGAATCAACATTTTCTTCTAGCTATTCATTTGGAAGTCCCATTTCATGGAGAGGGGATGGGAAATTCTTTGCGACGTTGAGCAAGGTGCATGATTCTTTTCCCTTGAGTAAGAAGCTTAAAGTTTGGGAACGTGATTCTGGGACACTCCATTCTGTCTCAGAATTAAAGCCCTTTATGGGATCAGCTGTAGATTGGATGCCAAGTGGAGCACGAATTGCCACAGCTTATGATCGGAAGGAAGAGAAGCAGTGTCCATCCATAGCTTTCTTTGAGAGAAACGGTTTAGAAAGAAGCTCATTCAGTATCAATTTAGGAACTGATGTGACCATAGAAATCCTTAAGTTTAACTGTAACTCAGAGCTTCTTGCTGCTGTCATCAGAGGTGAAACATTTGACACCATCGAGATTTGGTTATTCAGTAATAATCATTGGTACTTAAAGCAAGAGATGAGATATTTAAAGCAGGATGCAGTTAAGTTCATGTGGGATCCAGCAAAGCCTTTACAGTTGATTTGTTGGACTCTTCATGGCCAAATTACAACTTACAAGTTTTTCTGGGTTACATCTGTCATGGATAACTCAACAGCATT